GTTTAGATACTTGTCTTTGAGTTCTCTGCACGTATCGGTGATTGAAAACTCGCACGAGATGATGATCATTGAACAGAAGTGGATTTTGGCTATCTGGAGCCACCCCAGACTGAATTTATACATGTAGTATTACTACGTTTAGAGGTGTATCTGAAATGGTATGTATATAGCCCGCCTGTTTGCAAGAAGTAAACAGCACTTGGTCAAAATACACTCATATAAATGGAGTGGACTGAAAGTATGCAAAGGATCATCATCTAAGTACAGATATTCTTGCTTTTAATCACGGCATTTGCGCACATTTAGTCTCTGTTTGTTTACAAATGAGTACCAACAACGAATACAACCGTGTAGTAATAGTCTGTATGTGTTGTAGATAAACAATAGAATTTGCAACAACCAGCAATATTATTCACGAAGTCTGATATAATGCTATCGACAGGATTTGTATATATGAATATATAAAGCAGTCGAAGATGAGCGTGCCCGTGGTCAAAGAAAGAAAATATGTGCATTTTGTTTTCAGTAAATAAAATCGCGCCGTGCGATACTGAAACTTTTTAGCTGAGTATACAGTCACTTTTTATTACCACTAAAAATAGTGAGAAGAAATTATCATTGTTAAAGTCAGGTAAACATGCTTGGATTAATTCATGTTCTTCTCAGTAGTTGCAGAAACCTATCCTAACACATGAAAAATATCCTCCCATATTTGTTCTGATTAGAGAGCTCTCGCTCAAAAGTATCATCTTCTGACGGTAAATGTTGTTAAATTTTCAGTTTAGATCTAATATTTCCAACAAAAGCCATGGCCAAGTTCAAGATAACGAATGTGTGCACAATGAGACTTATTTCGATATACATATGTAATTTATAAGTAATGCCCGCCCATTGAACTCGCTGGTCTGATAGTAAAATGTTAGAACTATATCGTTCAGCATACTTGAAACACCATAGAGACTTGTTTCACCTCAAAAACCAAACCGCTTGTCTCTTTGAAAAAAAGTCGTTTTTGCCTAGTCGATTATCATGATCTATCCATAATATCCTCTGTTTTTCTATTTCTATTCCAATTCAATCAACACGTTTAGCTTTATGCCATGTTTAAAACCAATGACATCCTACTGTACGTCACATGATGTTCTGTTTTTCAGCGCAGAAAAGCAACAGGTTCACGCATACTTATAATGGATCGGAAAGATCTCATTTCAATAGACTATATATCGAATAAGATTCGAAAAACAAGGTGCACAAGAAGAAGCTAATGTAAAGTTTGAGGTTCCCAGTCTTAATTACGCTTTAAAGGATGGTTGCTCAGAGCGAGTAAACTCCAGCGGATGCGATGGGAATACGCCGAAAGTCCAAGATTCTTAGCATCTCTGGCATCCGACAAAATCCGATCTTTTTCCTAGCGGATTTCTGCATATTCTGAAAGCTCGATTACTCGTTGTTTATTTTTAATTCGTTTTTAATTCTCTTTTCTGCAACAAAAAGAGTTATAGTGTCATAAATCTGGTCGTTGAAATGCAAAAAGTTTGCTTACTTGTTTGCATAATCCAATCAGATTGCAGCATTTTATAAATCAATGAAAACCTAACCATACTTTTTAGAAGACGATTGATGAAAGGTAATTGGAATCGAGGATTTCGAATCTGATGTTAGTTTCCGAAAATTCTAATTAGTTAATTGACTAATTAAGTAAGGAGAAAAATTTTTTGTCGAGTAAGGGTTGACCGAAGGATAATCGAGGTCGAATAATTCAAATATGACGTTAGTTTTTTCTTTGTCACGAACCTTCGACTTCTTTCTTTTTTTTCAGAAGAGATATTTTTCTGTATCGTCCTAAAATCTTTTGTAGAAGGTAGTGGTTTGAACGCTACTGCTGGATATGATGTGGACCAATAGAGTAGTTTAAGAGTTTACAAAAGAAGATCTAATATACCATACATCATGATATTTCTAGTTCAAGAAATCATAAAAAGTGGTGTAAGCTTAATACCATTTGTGTCTTCTAGGCTGCTATACGTCTAGTCTTCCAATATGAATTTAGTGGAAATATGTGCCGGAGTGATATACCTGTAAGTGCAATTCCATCTTATTAACGACAAAGACATGGCCTGTACAAATAGTATTCTAAACATAGGGTGCATTATGATGCGTGTTCTTTTCACAGCAAATAATAAAATAAAACTTTTATCTATTTTCTTTTCGGGATCAAATAGATGGAAGATCAGCACTTTCCAAGCCACAATGAAATGAAGCACAGTTATTCAGTTTAAAAGTTAGTCAAATGTGAAAGGCATAACAGAGGTAGCGTGGCAAGGGCTAACCGTGAGTGACCGACAGGAGGGAGGTCGACGAACGACTAGCCGTTTGTTTCAAAAACTACTTGAGAGATGAGTTAATGTCAATGATTTTTTAACGGATATTACTGATGTCTTTCGAGCTTCGAGAATAAGTCCTGCAGATTATCAGCTCTTTAAATTGAAAAGAGTAATAGAAAATGTCCTGTAAATTGCACAGTTATGTTGAATTTTGACAGCTTCAGTTGCAGACCGACTCAGTGTAAATGAGAGTTGAAAGACGCAGATAGTTTAAATGATCTTTAAGAAAATTTAACTAATACTCTTTTTGAGAACGAGACCACTCAATTATCGAGTTCCGCAAGTGGAGAAAAGAGTAGAATCTGTGACAAAAATCACACTATTATGTAAAGTTTCAATATCTGGGATGAGAAACCGATCAGTTATGAGCGAGTCAACTGTTCGGCGTGAAAATGGGAAACTAATCGTATATGTGCCAATGGCTAGCCGTGAGTGGCCGACGAACGACTTGGCGTTTAAATTCCAGACTAATCTTAAAGTGTATACTTGGAATAGCCTTATCAGGCTTCGGCAAATGTATATTCCTCAATGAAAATATTGGAGAAGGCATTATTTTGTTGAAAGCAGAGAAAAGAGACAGGCTAATGTGTAAAATTTTCATGCGAGTAATGTGAAAATAGAACAACATATGAAAAAGGCGAATGGCTGGTCGTGAGTGGCCGTCCGGAGGGAGGTTGACGAGCGACTAGCCATTGAGAATGGGGTTTTCAGTCAACACAGTTAGTTCTCGAGAATTACTCACAGACAAATGGCTAATCGGTTCGGTTTCTGAAAAAGAATAATCTCTATCTTCTATTCACTTCAGTGTGTGATATAATGCCATGGTTCAGTTGAGGACTAGTAGCAATCGCAGTGCTTTAGTTGTCTTTCAAAGTGTTTGAATGTGGTCAGCACTGGGACAATTCTTCGAGAAAAGGGTCAGCGAATCCAAAGGATGAGCGCTACTTGTTTAGCATGTAATGAAAAAACGATTTAATGTATATCTTCATAATGAACTTTCAATGTTGATAAACTTGAACATATCTTAAAAGGTGAATCGTTTGAAGAAGAAACTTTTTCCAATCTAAAAAGGAACAATCGAAAGTGGAAAATGAAACTGGTTTATTTTTAAATATACCAATTAAACATTTGCTGTTTTCTCTAATGTTTTGAGGAAAAAGTCGAACAGGTGTGGCATAGATTTTAACAATAATGTACAAAATGCCAGTTCTATAAATTCAGAAGTGTCATCATTTCATACACTTTTGTTAATCCATTCGATAGACATGTCCACAGTTCATTGAATATTTGCTTAAGATCCTTATGTATTACATCGAAAGCCTGCGTTACAGATAACATCAATAAATGGGTAGGATCATCATAAATTTGAGATAAACCAAATGATAATTTAGCAACAATAACGGCAAGTCCAAACGAAGAATATAACGCAAAGCATGATTCAAGTTCACTCCATTTAGATCGATTGGTATAAGATTGGAGAACTTGATTATCACATGAATGTGTAATGTACAACCATTGCAAAGAATATAATATGAGAAATAATGAGATAGCAATAGTCCAATGAGTCTCCATTTGGGGTACAGCACCCCATTTCGATATTTTTTAATAGACTCTTATAAACAATACGTAGTATAGCATCTTTTTATTGAAAACTAGAGCAGACTTTTTGCTACAACTTCTCTCCTGAATTTCGTGCAGATGAGAAATGTAAAACCACGTCGTCCAAATTGCTTAAAAGTTCACGATCTTGTCGTGGGCTTTGCTCCAATTGTTAAAGAGATGACTTCGCAAGTTATTTCCAGGATCGAGAATTTTCTGAAACTCTTTCAACAAGGTGGTGACAATTAACCGATCACATCACTTTAGTTAAACAAACTGACCGTATTAAACTATTCTGTCTCATCAGTTAAAAAAGAGTCGATGGCTCTACTGCAAGTGAGTAATTAGACTAATGATACAACTATGAATATATATGTTGCTAAAGCTGATGACTTTCATTGATTTTCACTACAAGATCGTGAACGATGTACGATTTTGGCAGTGAAAATACTGATTGTTGGGGATTATAGCAAAAAATTTTAAAAAGAGACCGTGATTCTCTGGCAGTATTGTCGTAGTTGTGACGATACGGGAATTTCATTATCTGATGAGTGAACTATATATTAGTTTACATTTCTCACGACGTCCTGGAAGTCACAGTCGATCTTGAATCGATTAAACTCCTTGTATTTGAGAAGTTTACATGCTGCTATTTTAGCTGGCTTGAAGAAAATCGAAAAATCATTGTGCATTCCAGTTTTTTCATTAAGAAACATATTGAGACTGTTTTTATTTATATGACTTTTTTGTCTGAAAACAAACATCTCACAACATATCTTACAGAGAGAGAGAGAGAAGATAAAATGATTTTCCGGCAATAATAAGTGTTTTGTGGACTTCTTCTTCGAATAGATCTGATATATTTCCGGAGAAATTTTGTACCTCACGTCTGTACCCTATTTGGAGGAAAGGTGTACCTCTCGTGCACCCCATTTCTCATCTCCAATACCCCATTTGAGATCTGAACAATTGGTAACCCTGATTCCGACGGTCTCGGATCCCATGTCGGATCCGAAACATGGATTTTCTAAGGGTCATCATAGAACATAGCTAAAAAGATCGCTCATAAAATTTGCAACAACCGACGGGATTTTTCTAGTCGGATTCCAATGCAATTCCGTTTCCAGGAATCCGATCGGATTTGTTGATCTGGGAGCAAATAATCTAGAAAAGATTCAATATTAGGAAAAGTACCATCAATTAGGTCCTTTTGTGAACGTTCTATACATGAAACATGTAGCCATACAAAATTTTGATAATAATAATCTACGCATGTGAAGATGAAACCACTTTCGTTTGCCTTATTTATAATAAGAAACTGATCAAACGAAAAACTATCCGTATATCATATTTCACTCGATAAAGAGATCGTCATTTTGCGTTCCTCTATCCAAGACTACATATTGGGCTAACGCACTTATGCACTTGGCAACTTTTCGTTGAATTTGAACTTTTAAACAACTTTCAATAGTAGTTTTCATTTTTTTTCAATACAGAGAATATGCTCGTTTTTCTTGTGGCAACTGAGACGGAAGTATAAACAAACGATATCGACAATTCGATGGGTAAACAGTGGATTCATGTACGTTGATTTATAAGAACGAATATATGTGGAAGAAAAACAATTAATCGATACGAGAAAGTTCTTGTATTTTCCATTGTTTTCTAGAGTCATCTTCGTCTTTTCTACTCATCATCTTCGATTCGACTAAAATGGGTTTCGGTGATCTTCAATCTCGCGACGGTCTTCTTCTTCTTAACAATTTCCTTGCTGACAAATCATATATCGAAGGGTTCGTTCAAGTTGTCTTCCTTGCGAAACTATTTCTTTCCAATTTATCAACAGATATCGTCCAACACAAGGGGATGTTGTCGTTTTCGAAGCAGTCAAGAAAGCTCCGTCGGCTGATCTTGAAAACGCTCTTCGTTGGTACAAACACATTGCATCATTCAACGATGCTGAAAGAAAAAAGTAGATAAAATTCGCCGTTTTCAGAAATTTTCATCGAATTTGACTCGATTGACCTTAGATTCGAAGGTGAACGTCAATCAATTGATCATTACGGACGTCAACACGGTCAAGATAGCCAACAAAAACATGAATTCAAATCTCTTTCGGTCAATCCAGCTGAGAGAAAACCTGCAGCTGCTGCCGCTGATGATGACGATGTTGATCTCTTCGGTGATGAAGATGAAGAAGAAAGTGAACAAACCAAACAACGTTTAGCTGCTTATGCTGCCAAGAAAGCAAACAGTAAGGCGTCTACTAGCACAACTTTTTCCCTACCAGAAGTAAATTGTCTTTTCCTTTAGAACCGGTTATTGTCGCTAAGAGTACCATCATTCTTGATGTATGTATCACATAGGTAAATTATTCCGGAAAATGAACATTTCTCCTCTGAAATCAGGTTAAACCATGGGACGATGAAACTAACATGGAAGAACTTGAAAAGAACGTTCGCTCAATTGAAGTTGATGGACTTCTCTGGGGTGCTTGTAAGTAGACATCTACTCTAGAAAGATGTACTCGATTGTTTGCATAGCTCGTTTCGTTCCACTTGCCTATGGTATCAAGAAATTACAAATTACATGTGTAGTTGAAGACGATAAAGTACGTGCTAATTGACTTGTAGATCTCTAGGAAACGTATCTCTACTCTTTAGGTTGGTACGGATCTTCTCGAAGAACGTATTACAGCGTTCGAAGATCATGTTCAATCCGTTGATATTGCTTCATTTCAAAAAATATAAAGTTTTACTTATCTTTCTGTATAACATCGGTTTTTGGTCTTTTTCGGTTTTTTTTTGAAATGAACAGCTCCAAAACGTGATGAAATAAAAATTGATTTTAAAAGAAAGAGAAAGAAAATATCCAAAGAATACTACATGTGTTCATATTTTAGATGGCTACAGCAATAGAGACGAAACTTTATGTAACGAATTTTCCGAGTTCAGCTACTCGACAACAATTGCAACAATTTTTCTCACGTTTCGGTCGAGTACAAGAATGTGCAAGTAAGTCAATGACAGAGTTCGAATTGTAACTGATCAGTTGCTTTGTAGTCATGTGGAATTCATATGCCTTTGTTCACTACGCGACGATGGAAGAAGGTAAGTTAAGATTGAGGAGTCCGGAAGAATACTCATTGCGTATTTAGCTCGTCATGCTCTTGAACAATCGAATGGTGCCATGTTTCTCAATCGAAAACTGATTGTTCAACTATCGACATCACGTTTTCGTCCACAACCAAAGGAAACTCATGCTTCTATATCTCAACCACCTGAACAACTTATGCTTCTCGATCCATCTTCGACTCTATCCTATTATCATACCAGCCTAAATCAACAATCTGTATATCCCGAGCTTCAAATGACGACAAATACTCTTCAACAGCAATCTCCACCAGCAAAACTTTCAGATAATTATAAGTTTTTTCGTCCTCCATCACCCCTCTCTCAAACGTTGACGAATCATTACAATTCATATCCCAACCTTCCAACCGAGCAAATGGCAGCATTGGCATTGAAACTAAATCATATGAAACCAAATAAACTGATTAAAACAGGTAATTTTAGTTGAATGGTTGCGTGGAAGTAGACGAACGGTTCGATACCAGGGATGAGCAATCTTTTGGACACCTTTGCTAAAAAACCATGGCAATACACTTTCGTTAAGATAAGCTGAGGTATTCATCCGTTCAACAAAAAAGAATCCATTCTAATTTTTAATTCGTACGCAAAACCGATTCTAATCGGCGATTTCTCGTTTTTAGACACGGGCAGCAGTGGAGAATTACCAAAATTGTATTGTACTAATTTACCAGATAATTGTAAAGCAAATGAATTGCAGCAATTATTTTCTGCATTTGGCTATGTAGTGGACTGCGTGATCCTTTGGGATTATTATGCATTTATAACATTTAAAACATTTACAGAAGCAGAGCGAGCTTTAATGGCACTGAATGGATTTGCGTGGAAAGATCGACACCTCATTGTTGAATGGTCACGCGCATCTGGACGAAAACAACAGCAAGCGCAAGTATCACCTACCAATTCGACACCACCGAGACTTAATTCATTTACTTGTATGTCGAAATCGTTGAAGAAACCATTTCATATTTCTTGATTCTAGCTGAAATGTCAACTCCATCGTCGCCCCGTACTCGCCCATCAACATTGTTGACTCAATCATGTCCGACAAACAACCAATTCTACAACAGTCACTCGCCAATGAAAGCTCATCAGACGTTCAATCAAAATCTGGCTCTCATGACAATTATGCAAGAGCAACAGCAATCATTTTTACAGCAACATCCCCATCACCATCTATTCACTACCACTAACAATGAAAATCAGCCAATTTTTGATAAGTAGGTTAATTTTCATGATGTTTCCTATATTCCTTACGACAAATCGTTTCTTTAGCTTAACAAATTCTTCATCGAACCATCGACTTGACCTCTCACCATTCATTGATACGAACTCAATTTTCTCGTCGTCATCGGAATTGAACACTCCATCATCGACTACGTCGCAATCAAAAGTTTACCAACCATCTGATATTGTTGCTTTACTTGAATCGTCGTCATCTGACCAACCTGTTCAGAATAAACCAGCTGATAATTCAATTAATGATGTAACTAATACATTCAATGCTGTTCCTCCATCGTGTTCATCAGCTGTCTGTCAAGAAACTCTTCTTTCCTCGTTATTCAATGCTTTCGATCCGTTCAATAAACTCTATTCAAATGATAATCAATCCTCACGTTACAATCATCTCTCTCCATTAATTACAACCGCACCCGATAATACTCATTATCCTCTTTCCTATGGTCATAATCTGGTTTGACGTTGAATAACACGATTTTCTTGCTTCTTTTTTTTCCTTCCGGTGTGTGTTTATTTGTTGTTTCGCATATACACCAGCACGGTTCCTTTTCTTTCGTTTTCTAGTCGCACGTGTCTGTCTTTGTCGGCCATATTTTGTTTCTTTCTCTCTCTCTCTCTCTTGCGCGATGAATAGTAGTTTGTTCGTTTCGGTCTGAACGAATTGGTTTCGTTTTTTGTCTTTTAGGAAAATCAGTTTCTTCCGTTCTGTATTTAGCATCATTAATCGAGAGATCATCACAATCTTGCGAAGATTTCTTTCTGTTTTCTTTTTTCGAATTCAGAAAAAGCCTTCCTGTATCCATACTTTTACATAAAAAGCTACGTTTGATTTCAAAAACAAACATCTTCTTCGTTTCTCAGGTTTTTGTTTGAAAAAAAAACACATGTTACTCATTTTTGTCTATATCTTTCTTTCTTTGGTCTTCTGTTTGAACAGTTTCTCTTTTCATTGTTTATGTTGGCTTTTTCTCATAAACGAATGAGCTCTTGTTATTTGTTATTCATTTCTGTTTTCTCTTCGGTTTTTTTTTTATTACTACACTAGCATGTCTGACATCATATTTGATTTTTCCATCCTTATTTTTCTATTTCTTCTCTCTCGTTTGCTACCTGTTGTTTTCAACCACGTTCTGTTGCGTTGAACTTGTATATGCTTGTACTTCAATGATGGACACAATGCTAACGAAAAAGAAAAGAAAAAGATAAATTTTTTTGTCTTTGAATAAACAAATTGACGAAATGAATCCGAAAGATTTTCTCGGTGATCAGTTATCCTTGTCGCTCGGCGTTGAAGTTCATCCATGTTGTAACAGAATTCAAAAGAGAAGTATCAATGTATTTTTGCAGATGAATCGCTTTCCCGGACCTCCTCAACCGTTACAAGGTCAGCCGATGGGTTCAACTGGTGTGCATGCACCGCCGGGTATGACAAGCCATATGGCAAGTCCGCAAACAGTTCCGCCTTACAACGTAGCGGTTGCCTCACCACAGTACGTCCAACAAGCAGGGCCAGGCCCGTCTCCAACACAAGGACACTATGGTCATCCATCGGTAAGTAGCCTCTTCATCTTTGTATTGGAATGTTAGTCGGATATATTTCTTGTATGGCCTTAACAACAGATGATGGGTGGGCCTGGCTATGGACAACCCATGATGCATGGTATCATGCCATCGCAGCAGATGATGCAGCAACCACCCCCACAACAACAGCAACAGCCCTTACCACCGCCACCCCCACAACAGCAGGCACCTCCCCAACAGCAACAACCTCCGCAACAACACGCTGCCCCTCCGCCCGATGACTTATCGATGAGATTGAAACGATCATATAATAATTTCGATTCTAGTCTTAAAGTATGACGACAGTCAAAGAATATCTGTTACTAGCAAGTCTCTTTTGTTGCAGACATTCCTTCATGAATATTCTTCAGTATTACAAATGGATGATGCCCGCTTAAAGTAAACTATTTTCTTTTTGAATGACTGTTCAATCCAGAAACGAAATTTAGTTCACAAACACCGGAAGTTCTTACTCAAACCTCTCGAAATCTCGTGCAACGCTATGAATCCCTGCTCGTTGCTCTCGATCTCTTTGAATCAAACCTCGTATGTTAAGTTCGATCTGTTCATGCTCTTTCACTATATTTCTTTCACATAGCGTATGTTACAAGATTACACTGTGATTCAAAATGATTTCCGTCGCTTTATGCCCACACCACAAAATGTTGTCGAAGCAAGTTCTCATTCCGGTCACCAACAAACGCAGATTCTACCAACCATTGGTCGACCGGTTGATCCTGGTCAATATCAATTCCTATCCAATAAAATGCAAACTCAAATCGAGTCTTTCAGTGCACTACGTGAAGCAGCAAAAAAGTTTCTTGAAACCTCAACAGCCAATGTCAATACGAATACAACCACGAAATAAATGACTTTTTCTCTTTTTCTGTGTCTACTCATATCTATGTCTTTATTGTCTTTTTACTGAATATAAAATACAAAACTACATACAGAAACAAGAACAAGTAGTTTAAAGGAGACATGACCGAACAACAATACCATACTATAACAAGTCTCGATTATGAAAACATCTCCGAGCTAGATGCGCCGAACTATCTGAACAATGACTTCAAGAATTCAATGGAGATTCTCATTGCCAAACATATCGGAACCATTTCGAAGAACTACCAAGTATGTCTTCGGTTTTCTTCATCGATCGCAAACGATCATCATTCGAGTTTTAGACCGAACTTGATCGACTATCATCGTATACCTATTATCCACCAATGGATGCGAAACAGATTCGCGATCTGACAATTGCTAATATCACTACCGAGGAGATCAAACGTCATCTAGCTGAAAAGATTTACAAAGAATTAGAGATTATGTTTGAAACAACAGTTATGAAATGGAATTCAATTGTTCAAGCAACAACGAAGAGATATGTAACGACTTCAGTTGAACAATCAATTGATATCTTCCGAAAGCAGCTATCAAAAACCATTCAGAATGATGAAAATCAAGCAAATAACATTATCCTTCAACGTTTTATATTAGTGAATAATCAACTGAAACTAGTTTAGAGACAAAAGCCGCTTGATATGATTTAGTTTCGTAGAATAAAGTAATATTTCTCTTATCTATACAATCGAAATACTATTGTTTATGATCGTTTTATTACAAAGACAAAAATGTACATAGCTATATTGAGATATTAACTATTAAAACACATTCTTGACTCAGAGTATGTGATTTACATGAACGCCTTCGTTTCCTATCGAATTTTCCCTCTAATAATCAAAATACATTCGAACATGACCAACTGGCTCCGTCTATCGTTTCGATTCTCATTGGATAATGAAGTTGAATTCTAGGATGAGAATGCAAGGTGCTTTTATTATACTTGCATTTGAATTATACGTCTGAATTTGTTAACTTGAACGTGACTCGAGGGAACTATTCTTTGTTTAGAAGATCTTATTGATCAAACTCGTTTCTGCCTCAGTTTATTCTTTCAAATTTTCAAACGTTTTTCTCCTTCTTGCTGTACAGTCACAAACAGAAGAAACAATGACATATGTACGTGATTGTATGTACGATAAGGCATATTTACTCCTCCGATTAGTCATTAGCACATCATTACACAATCGAGAAGTACATTTTCTCAATTAGTTTTCAAACGTGTTTGAAGAACAGACATAAAAATGATGTTATATATATATTCACAGTTTAGCGACGTAATGCCATTCGATAGGTCAATGATTTCTAAATGAGAAGCAATCGTCGATCATTGTTTACTGTCTAGCTTAGGCAAACTTTGTTCGTGGATTTGTCTTCATGACGAATGTGTATGTCTGCGAACGAAAGAGAACGATTTTTTTCCTCTGTTTCTTAGATCATTGAGAATTTCTTTTGTAAATGGAGACCATTCAATCTCATGTACCGTCGGTAGCGTTGTTTGTCACTGTAAGTTTGAATTTCCCTACTGAAACTCGATAATCAACGAGCATTTTCTTTTAGCGCTCGGAAATCGACTTTTCTCATCGATCACCAAGTCCAATATGTCAACGATGGTTTATGGTTTTATATTTGAAATCGGAAGCGAAAGAGCTCGCATTAACTGTAGGTTATTTTCTACTTAATCCTAATCTAATTTGTCTAATGACTTCTTCCTTTCACAGGTTTATCCAGTCAACATGAAAAATCCTGAACAAGAATTCAAAAAAGCCTACAATTCCAATCCACCTGTCGTCGTCTTTGATGAAACAAATGATAAAACAACTCAAGTTGTCTTAACCGATAATCGTGATATCGATGCTGAAATAAGTAAACGTTTTCCTGTAACAAATATGAGTTCGTTAAAAGAAGCGGAAGATGTTTGTTCGAATGTTTATATTAAATTTCATCCTTACTTAAAATCACCAGCTGGTGATCCTCAAGAACAAATCAAATTGCGTTCACTATTGAGCGAATTAAAACGTATCAATGATTATCTCGAAGAGACAGGTACAGCATTCCTTTCCGGCAACGAAATGACGTTCGTCGATTGTGACATCATGCCTAAATTACAACATATTCGTGTTGCCGGCAAATATTACAAGAATTTAGATATTCCAAATGAATTAACAGCATTATGGGCATACATGGAACGTTGCTATCAAACGAAAGCTTTCCAAGAATCATGCCCGTTCGATCAGGATATTTTGATGCATAACGAAGGTAAAGTTGGCGCGAATAATAAGCCATTTGGCAAAACACCAACTTTACAACAACCAACAATGACATTAACAATTCCAGGACGTGAATGACATGATATTTCTTTTTTTTTTGTTGCTATGTATATTTTGATTTATTCAGCAATCTCATACATCTTTTTCCATTTTCTCTTTTTTTTTCTTCGTTACCATTAGCTTTTTTATATTTGCGAAAGATGTTGAATGATTGATCTAGGATGAAATCTCTGGAAGAAACTGGTCAAATAAAAAGTGTTTACTTGTTTGTTCTTTTCGTCTTTTATTTTAGATCGATATTTTTGTAACGAGTAAATAGATACACAGAACATGGACGAAGCACAAGAAAAAGCTATGGTATTTAGGAAAACGATGAGAGACACGAGTTTAACTTGTCTTCATTTAGGATTCAGTTGCTTGTTTCAAAAGAGGTGCATTGCTATCAATTACTGGTCAGCAGTATAATGTATGTTCAAAGAATCTTAAAAGAAATCTGCTCGTTTCATCCAACCGTTATGGTTATGTATTTTACGGTACCGAAACCGATGGTCTCGCGATAATCCCATCGGCCTACATTGATCATCAATCACGACGACATGTTTTGCCATCTGATGATGACGGAGGTGACAATGTACACGTGGAGAACGCTTCAATTATTCATCGATCATATTTACCCGGTCAAACTGCCAAGCAAAATACGTCATTGATACCATATTGGCTGTCATTGAATGCGGATGAAACGATCCTTGCGATTATTCTTTTTCAAACAGATGCTCAAGCATCACATTTGATTTTTTATGATGTTGCTCAATACATCCAAAAAGTAAGTCGACAGATTTACGTACGGTGAAAGATATAATCTCGTTTTCTAGCCGGATGCACCTCCGATCTGTCCAGTTATGCGTTTGACGAGCGATATAATTGGCGATAGTATCCGTCATTTTGCTTGGAATCCAGTAATTCCTAACATATTCGCGTATATCGATGGACTTGGATCAGTATCAACATTCGCAATCGATAAACAAATGAAAACTCTAGGCAAATCTAATGCAGATACGAACAACTCTTCAAGTAGGTTTCCTCCATTGAATTAATTCAATTTATCTTCAGTCGATCTTTTGCAGTTTGCTGGAGTCCAAAAGGTAAACAAATTGTCGTTGTTAAATATGATGGTTCATTAGAATTCTTCGATGAAAACATGCAACCGAAAAAGAAAAACTCATCAGTTGTCAGTAATCAATCCTTTCCTCCATGTATTAATATTCTTTGGGTCTCAACGCATCAATTTCTACTTGGTTTCTCAACAACAAACTCTAATTCTGACCCGAACGCACTCTCTCATGTCATGGCTACTTACAGCAAAGTAAGAAATCTTATTGACACAAACGATAATTGAATAACAATCTTAATCAACAAATAGGACCATCCACCTAAAGCACAAATATTTTATGATTTCTTCTTCGACGTGACGGATATGTCAACGAATACAAACCTACAATATTACTACACTTCAATGAATCAAAAGTACAGTGGCGAGTTCCCTTCGATATGATTCAGTTGAAATCTTTTCTTTAGCAAAATCGTCATGTGTGGTCTGTCCAAATCGATGAAGACTAATGTAATCGGAGCTGATGAACTCAATTCGGTACGTATAACGTTTATTGATTTCTCTCTCTCTCTCCCTCAGCAAGAAAGAAGTGCGTTGATATGGTGTTTGATAGAATAATTCAAAGGTTTATTATTAAAAAATCTTCTTCATGACAAATTTATGAATAAGTTTACAAATACAAAAAGCATAATAACAACAAGAAGTATTGATAAGAAAAAAATGAGTATAAAGACGTAGATAAGGATGCATCTTTGGGATTGACTTGACCATTGTACGACGGCGACACTTCCGTTTTCAAAACTTTGATTTTCCGGTCTTGACACAATCGTTCGCAAGAATTCGTCGCTGAACAGTTGAAATGTTTATCCAATTCATACAGTTGTATTGCCGGTGACGATTCATTTCGTAGTAGACAACCTTGATTCAATTTGAATATTCGATTAACGCTTTGATTTGTTTGTTGTCGTTTCGTGTTGAAGACTGTCTGCAATAGACAATCACATTGAAATCTCGTTTGGCTATCTTGACTAATCTGTAGGTGAGGGTAATGAATTAACAGACAATTGTTCAATGGAGAGATCGAACTGTGTTTAATATAAATGGATAAACGTTGAAGATGATCAATGCCACAAAAAGCATTTTTATCGATTGAATTCAATGGATTACCCGATAATATCAATTGTCGAAGTTTTGGGACATGTTCGAAAGTGTATTCATCAATTAATTCGATCAGATTTGAACTTAGATCGATATCATCGATCGTCTCCGATTGTAAATGGTCGATAGATTTCAATTGATTGTAGTCGAAGAGTATGTATTTCAAGTGTTTCAATTTGCCTAATGATGATATCAACGGTTGACTGTGAAACACGTCCGGAAGATGACGTAGAAGTAGACTTTGGAGCGATGAAAGATATTGTATAGGCACTAGACTTGTCTGATGGGTATTGGCTAAGCTGAGATAAGTTAAATTTTGTCCCAGAGTTTTGATATCATAGTAACGATAGTTGTCAAGATAGATGTTCATCAATTCCAAACGATACAAATGTGGTAGTTGTTGGAGTAGAAGTTCCAAATTGAGTTTCTTATCGTGCTTATGAGTTTGATGATAATGAACATTCTTCAACGTTAAAGATTTCAGAATTTGAAACGAATTTGCCGAGAAGACATCCTGAAAGTTTCCACTCGACGTTGAAAGTGATTTGATCGTCGAATTTTCCAAGACGAATTTATCGAAATGTTTCAGATTCGCAAATGTTTGCTCGTTGACATTCTTCAAATTGCAATGACGAATACGTAAGGTGTTTAAGCTAAGACTATTGAATGGATTTGTTTCGAAATCGAAGTCATCCGCACAGGATTCGATTTCAATGTTTTTATATTGAAAATTTCCCGGAAAATAAGGCATTTTCACATGAGTAATACATTTCAATGAGATAGCTGGTTGACTATTGCTTGTAACATCTTCACATTCGCATTGTTGAGATGATGTTTGAGATGAATGATATTCCGAACAGATCGACGCCGAACACCGATGAAAATCAAAGACGAGAAGAAGAAAACATGAGATAGAAATCCAGCTTAAATACATCTGAAATAGAAATGTATCTGTTGATTATTATTCTAATTGAGAAATCTGATTTTATACAGTTTTTTTTGTTGTTTATATGTCATGTTGATAGAAATGTTTAGTCGAGATTTATAGATAAGAAGACGTGATATATGTGCAGATATGACCAGTCATTCTAAGTAACAATGAAGAGATCAATCTTGATTCAATCAAGTTGAACTTTCTTCCTTTTGAATTAGTAATTCGCGAGAAGACTTTTCTTACCTTATTGATTATGTTCATCAAATGATAAGAAGATACCAAATGACTTTCTTCTATCGACGTTTTTTTTTTATTCATGCGCATAGTCAGACAAGAGAATATGAGAAGAAATACTTCGAAAGCATGATATCTATTGATGTTTTCATAGTTATCTGAGACTAAATATACTACGATTGATTGCCAGTTGATCCCTGTTAATGTGCGCATATGAATGCGAAGTTAAGAAAAATTTACGTTCGATCGCATACCGGAACAGTTGATCTTTTCTCTCAGTGCGAGTTTTTTTTCTTCTTATTTGAATAAGAAAAAAAATATATGTGTTCATTCTTCTCTCTCATTCTTTCCTACTACTTGTAGGGCACCATCACTTCAATCGTATAGTAGAGTATTGGCTATTCTTTCTCTCTCTCTCTCCTTCTCGCTTCTTATTCTTCTGGTAATCAGCTTCACATCTCGTCGAGGCTATTTTTTCCTCTCTTGCTCTCGTTCTCGTTCGCTTCTTGCCCTGAATTAAAGAGAAGAGAAATGTTAAGAAGCGGAAATGCACAACAATAAGACGACTAGCGGTCAATAGAATATCCATTTCGAATGCTTTGTTACATATACATGTATATATATAAAGAGAAAAAAGATGTGAGGTGAAGGTAATCGACGTGCACGGCAATAGATTTTTTTAATATTACATGCTATTGTCAATTAAGTAGACAGATGGACATGCGAAGTCAGAGAAGAGAGCGAGGTAATAGATTAAAGTTGGATGTGAATCGATGTAGACTTGACGTGAAGTCATCATTCATCGCCTTTCATATGAAATGATAATGTGTATGCATATCTATCGGTATGTTGACCCCCTCTCGATATCTGTGATTGAATTGGTATCAAAATGATAAAGGATTAAACGTGATATGCTCATGATATTCAAAAAGAAGAAACCATAGAACTTGCGGCAGAAAAGCAATTCATTAATATGAATATATGATCGGACATCACAAACAACTTACCATTACATTACGATTTCTCCGTTGTAAGACGTGCGTCTGTACGAGGTGGAATGTCTGTTCATTGTTCACTTTTTCTTTCTCCCGTCTTCTTCTTCATCTTTTATCCTTTAATTCTTTCTCTCACATATTGCTCACCACATCGTCAAGAATAATGCCATTCTCTCTTGTTCAATACACGAACTGGACAAGTGTCCACTCTTGTCGTTGCGCTCTGTTCTTAGTTATATATGTATGTGTGTGTGTGTGTGTGAGGGTGAGTTGATGTGATGATGCAATGATGTGACTAATGGATTGAATAAGATGACTATATGAAACATGAAAGCTATGTGACATGGTGTCTGGTCAAAGAAAAGCTTTTAAAGGCAAATGGACGAAAAAAAGAAACTTATCTACATCAAGGATATGTGTATCAATAATTTCATAGTAAATTGTCTCTTGTTCCTATTCTCACTATTAAAACTACACCAATGCGTAATCTTACTCGTGCACATAAACACACGCGTTGATTACATAAAGAAAAATCTCTCTGATGGAGGTTACGACGTTGCTATCTTTTCTTTCTCACTCGATGTATGTCTAATTCCTTTGTTTGACCAAGGCAATGTCGTTCTGTGTAAGATGGTGTAATCAAGTTGATTCATTTTTCGGTTAAATGCGTTCATTTTCTTTTCTAATAAATTTACTGTCATTCAGATCTAATTGATAAGAATAACCAGAACTCATCAGCTAAGAAAATGTCCGCTGACCTTGCGGCATTCAACTGTAAAACAGAAGGAAAAAAGACGGAAAAGTTTTTTACGCAATCTTTATATAAATATTTTTGTGGTTGTAATGATGGTGTAAAAGCATTTAAGATCATTTTTCTCCTACTTGTTATTCTCATATATACATAAACAATGAATAATGATGATCTTATTAATATAGTCAAGATGTTCTGTTCCTAGTTTGAANAGAAAGAGGAAGGAATTTAGTCCTGACAATGTTTATGAATCTAAAATAATTCTTAACTATTAGACGATCGAGACAGTTTTCATTGAAGCGTGTACCAGATGTGTTTAACAACGCCCGAGAGACCATGACACAAGTGCGGTTAGTTCTATTTATCAGCGAATGAGTTCAAAGTTGATGATTAATCTTCTCACGCATTGGAACCATCTGTCAAACAAAAAAAAAGACAGAAGAAGAGGAACAAGAGAAGAAATTTATCGAGATCTTGATAAGAAACAATACAGACGAGCATGCGATTATCATGAGGAAAAAGAAAATGGATAATGAGCATTATGATGATTATCATCAAGATCAAAAATCAAAGAAAGAATATAGAATCAACGAAGATGAAAATCTTTCATTAATTTCCTTATGTCTATTATTAGGACTCCTATAACACGTGGACATTTCCTGACCATCTTCGAGCGGATACGAAAGGTGACTTGAAAATTGATAGTAAACAACTTATTCTCACTGGCATGGCGCTTGGTTTAAACTCAACTCTGACGATACCTGAATTCAAGAAAAAATTACCACCATGTCCCATGCTATTGCTTTCCAATAGCGAAGGTGCCCTGCTCGTTTATTACTTTCTTCATCAACAATTGCAATTCGCTTGCCATGCACCTGAAATAATCAAGCCAATTCAAGCTGGAAACATTTTCGGAAGTGCAGCGCCAACATCATCGTTAGCGTTAACAGGAACATTTTCCTCATCACGTAAGGTTTTCTACTTACTTGTATAAATGGATAAAGAACATTCTTTCTCTCATTCTATATTTATATTGTTGCCCTATCTTGGTTAGTTTCGAGGGAATGTTGAGAAAATAACAACAACAATCTGTTGGCCGAACATGATCATCATTAAGGAAGAGGAAAGATATTACATCATATCTATTCGGCATGGATTTCTGTAGTGATGAGTCGAGTGTCAGATAACAATCATCTATAGAAGGAGAGGAAGAGAGGGAAAAAGCAAGAACATTATCTAATAATGAACAGAAAGTTCAAGTAACAACAACAATCATCTAAAAAGATTATATTAGTCTACTATACGAACAGATCATAATGTGAAACATTTGTTTAATAGAATCGATCATTTCTTTTGACAATAATAGCTCATTGAAAATAATGAAATGACTTGCTTACTGACCGTTTCATTTGTTGTTAACAATGACGAGCAACATCTCGAGAAGAAAATAAAGCAAAAACCGGAAATGTATACACACACATATATATATATATATATAGTGATATTTTTCATTAGTTTCCTAGAGATAACAAATTCCACTTGAGACCTGGAGAAACAATCGTAATACACAATTAATTAAATTTCGTATCCGTTGTTATTTGACCTTGACTAGTGTTGTTTTGTTTTCACATCTTTACACATGAGATTGGAACGAACAAATTTTAATTAAAACAGATTTCATTTTTCAGAGCCACCATCCAACGGTTTTCAAATGACTCAACTGAATTCAACAGTGGCACCTTCACGCATTCCTATTGCTTCACAAGGAAAAGAGAAGCCTAACCTCACAAGTGCTTTCAACTTTACGCAAGCACCTCCACAAATTACGAACGGCTCTCCATTCAGCGAGACTTCGAAAGCATCGACTGTGAATTTGGGAAGCGAACCAACTCCTACGCAAAAACAATCACCAATAAAGAGTATACTGGACATTTTTCTTGGCATTCGTGAGTTTGATGTATTTAGATACAGTCAGTCAAGAACAACCATCAACACCCAAAATGGACATTAAGAATCTTTTTCAGACGGTAGGTGAGATTTTGTAAGAACTAAGATTCCTCTATTTTGCGTAGATCGATCAATTTCAATCGAAATTGAATATTTTAACCAACTCTTTATCAAAAGCACCGACATCGTTCGGTGATTTCGATAAATCCCTAGAGAATTTAACAAAAACTCTCCAGGATATGAACAATACATTTGAAGTAGGTCGTTTAATTAGAGGATAATTATTTCCGACTACGAAAGATCATTATTTCTAGAAATCTTCTCAATCAGTCAAAACAATGACCCATGAACATATAGAATACATGACAAAAATTGAAAATGCTCGTTACCAATTGCGTTCAAGTCTAAAGGAGAATCTCTACCATTCGTTGAAAGACCGTGAACTCGATCCATGGACACAAGCACGTCTGGATTCAATCAAAACTAAATATGATCAACTTAAACACGATTTGGATGTCTTACTGCAAGTAACACACGCAACCATTCGCGATAGATCAGCACCAGACACTTCCGAAGATGCAGAGAATGAGTATGCAGATGGAGGAGTATGGACGAACGAAATTTTACTCATAATCTTGCATTTATTTAGAGATTTCTTGCCAGATTTAGAAATATCATTGATTACGACAGGAACTATGAAACAACGATTATGCAATCGTATACGAGAACTCAGCCATAAAGTATCACAAACAGAACACGATCTGCAGCAAATCTGTGCCAAACTAAATACGGATATACTGAGTAGCAAAACCTTCGAGTAAGGATTCTATACAGTAATTTGTGTTAGAGATTATTCTTCCTTCCTTTGTTGTTTCAGCAAGACGACGATGTCGTCTGAGCGACCATTTCATAATACAGATGCACAAATTTTAGCGCATTTACAAGCTACTCATAAAACAATCACTCAAGTTCGTGTACCACTAGCTGTTGGAATCAATCTCTCGTCAACTGTTGAATCGACGAAAAAACAACCAGTGAATGAAGCACCAAAAGTAACAACGCCATCAGCTCAA